CCCTCCCTTGAGCCGTCCCGCTGGGGGCCCAGCACTTCCCTCCTTTGCTCCTTCAGCGGGGGGGAACTTGCAGCTCCCTCTGCAGTGTCCTCTGCTTTCCTGGCTCTTCCCTGCCAACAACGTGTTTCTGCTTGCTCGGGGATCCTTTAACCTTGGTGGACATCAATTCACAGAGGTGTAGGGCCACGCTCACAGCTTACATGTGAATGTACCTTCAGTAAATTAACAGTAAGAAGTGCTCAGAGCTTGGGCAAGTTTTCCATATGTCACAACAACTCAAGATTTAAAAGGGAGGATTCCCCCCCCAATTCCCTGTCCTTTTATTGTTCCTATCATCTCCCACTTGCTTTTCTGAGTTTAAGTCGTAGGCTTTGTTGATTTTAGTCTTCCAGCTTTTTAAGTGTTAGAAGTCGCCTTGGCACTGCTACTGTCCCTTTACACCTCGATTTTTAAAATGGAATTTTATTACCTTTTGCTGGTGATGAAGGAACCCTTCCAAGAAGAGGAAGCCCTCTGAGCTTTCTTGGGGCTATGCCAAATATATTAACCTCCTCAGAAAATTCAAGAATAAAGAGTCCTTTCTAGGGTCCTCTTGGAAGGGAGCATTGAAAACATACTGAAGTGGATTCTTCAGAGCTCTTTGGAAGGGAAACTCCAGTGGGTGTGTTCTTTTTCTAAAAGATTGTTTTTGCAGAGTGAACCAGCAGGACCAGAACCTCAAGAAATTCCTCCAAAGCAAACTCTGCATTGCTGGAGCTCCAGCAATCATGCTAAGTGGTCCCAAAGATACGCAGTCCTTCACACTTGAAAGCTTTACAAGGTCTTCGCCTTAAGGGAAAGCCTGAAAGCCACTGGTAGAGTTTTGTAATGGAGGCTTTTACAGAAGGAAATGTGAATTGCTATTGACAAGCAGAAGTGTATGTTCAGGGATCTGGCAGGAAATGGAGACGATTGCTAGCAATTTTCACCTCTTGCTACCATACATAAAACATCTTCATGGGCGACAGGAAAAGGTGCTGTGTTTCCTTTTAACCATGGTTTAGGAATTTCATCAAGTTTCTTCTTTGCAATTTGTAGAAGCAGGTTTGTCATTATTAAGTATTGATTGCAGCGACAGTATGCTCAGAGATACATTTTACATCAAACCTTTCCAAGTGGTTAAAAAAAGTTTCTGAAGCTCTTTTATCTTTAAACTTCCTGCTAAAGTCATGGGTGATAATTTGGAAAAGCTTCACTGATTTTAAACCTTTGTATTTATTTATAGCCATCGAAGTAAGATAACAGCGCTGGAGAACTAGAGAGGTGCTACTGAGTACGGATGAAGCCTGACTAAAGATTACTAATGAGAGCAAAAAATCACCTGTGAAATTCACAGGGGAAGCGTGTGAAGTTGTAAGGAGTTGACCCCTCAATTGTTATTCCTATTTCTTAACTACAAAGACAATCTCTTGTCTACAGGAATTTTATTAGATGCAGAGCAGACCACTCTAAAAGGCTTTGCAACTTCCCTTTGAGTTGTTAAGAAAATTTATTTCTTAGTATTAAAACATTAATTAAAAAGCAACCTAAAAATTGTGTTTGACCAAAAGGTGCTGGTTCGGAGTAATTAGTGAGTCCGTCCTGTACACTGTTCATGTGACATTTATACTTTTTCAAGACATCTTGAAAAACCCATCCAACCATCCCCAGTGGCCCCAGCACAATGGTTGGAGCCCTGTGGATTTGTTCACACGAGTAAAGGAGATAGGGGAGCTGGGAGCGGTCAGATTCACATGGACGGTTGGTCTGAGAAGGAAAGGACGAAAGAATGGATGGGTGTTCTTGACCTAGAAATTCCCTTATTTCAGATTTAATCAGGGAAGAATGAGAAAGCCTAACACTTTGTATAGCCGTCAGTCATGTTACACTGGTGTTGAATACTTAGTGTGTGACTAGCAAAGCCCTTCATTCCTTGGCTGGAGATTTTGCACGTGTTTTGGGGAGTTGTGAATCCAGAATCCCTTGAGATTCCAGGAGAGGTTCATGCCGTTGGAAAATCCCAATTTAATGCCTACCTACATTTTCTTTCTTTGCAGCTGTCCTGTCCCCGAGTGCCGTGAAACGCTCGGAGAAAGGAGCTTTCTCATGGTGCTGGAACCCCACTGGCAAGGGAGAGAAGGGTCCTATGGCCTGTCCTGGGTGGGACCGGCTGAGCAAGCCAGGGCTGTGCTTTCTGCCCTTAGGAAGTACCACATCTGCTTTCCCTCTGCCAGTGCCCTGCACATCTGGGCCCGTGCTGCTTGTGTACCGCTGCAGGCTCTGCACACACAGCGACTTAGGATTCCCATCTCTTCAGGTCACACACGTTTCTCCTGTCTTCCTCTTTAACGAGTCATTAATTAAAGGACTTTCATCCTGATGTATGGAAAACTGTCGGCACAGATCTGTAGTCCCCTTTTGGTGCATGCTAATCACATTTTCGTGGATTGCAGGAGATTTTTGCTTAGAAATAAGGATTTGGTTTTCAAGTTGTTTTAACACAACCTGCCTGTTCTGTCAGCATCTGTATTGACAGCTCCCTCTTAGCATTAAGTTTTTAAGTGAATCCATGGTTCTTGCAGAGTAATTAATTAGGTTTTGGAAATGGAACAAAGACTGATGGTGTCTGAGAGAAAGGATTGGCCATCAGATTGATTAATTGGTGTGTTTTCAGGTAGTGGGTAATCGTTATTTACAAACTATATTAAAGACTTCGTCATCTCAGGTTGTTTTTTGAAAACACATATGACTTCATTAAAAAAATCAAATCAGATTTTACTGATTACTGAATCAGTACTAAAATTACAGATGAGTCTGCTCCTCAGATTTTCAGATCCTAGAAATTTACTTGGAAATTCAGCTTATTATAGACCATGAAATTTTGGCTCAGCTTGTTGTCAAGATGGCATTCAGACCTAACTCTGAAATCCCACAGAAGATTTGGTGTTCACATGTTGGACTTGGATCAAGGCCATCCCTAGTTAAAATGAGCAAAGGCTAGGCAGAGCAGGCAGCTCATGTGGTGTGTGAATTGTCTTGTCCTAGGCTAAGTTATGACCATCCCTACGTCTTCCTTGTCTTTTACGATACTAATTTAAACAGTGTACAGTGAGTAACTCTGAAACAATTCATAGCTGGATGTCAGTGCTGTACTGAGAGATGGCTCGGACTGAAAGCAGGCATTGTATGAGCAAAGCCTGATGATACTTCACATTTAATCTTTATTAGGAAATGAAGCTGAACCATTTAGAATTAAATGTTTGACAAACTATTATTTTTGTTAGATTGTTAAACTGGATTGCACACTTTATATTATATTTAGAAAGACAGGACATACGCTTCAAGATTATTTATTCTTGTGCCAGATCAATTGCCCATTTATTTTTAAATATTTATGATCATCTCAGGTTTGCTCTGATGTTGGTAATCGTTATGTTTATTTACTCTTGCAGTTTTCTAAGTTCTGGACACAGATACATGCCAGAGTCTTTTCCGCTCCATTCTTGACTGTACAGTAGGTTCATGGGATAGCTCATCTTCCAGAGGGCTCTGAAAACCAAGGCTCGATCTCTTTTCCCAGCATATGCTGAATGCAATTAGGCACCAGTTCAGAAAAGGCTTTGTAAACATTCTGAATCCATGCCACGTTTTCTGGTCTCAGGAGCTGCCAAATGCCTAAATGCTGTATTCAAGCCAGATGTCTAAATATATAAAATGAATGGCTGAACAAAGTGCCTCCTTAGTAGAGCATATGCATATAGGATGGACAGACCTGAGGAGCCTGAGATCAGCTCCAGAACATGATGTTCTGCCAGCCCACATCCCTGGCCACTAGGAGGGAGACCAAAATACACTCTCTCCTGGATGGGCAGTGTGAGGACGAAGCACCCTCACTCTCGTTTTTTGATCTCTTGGTGTGGGACAGCAAGCCTCAGCATTCTCTGCTAGCAGTATCAGAAGGCAAACTCTGTCGCTTCTCAGTGTGTACACAGTGTGTACACCTGCCTCTGGGACACCGAGGTACTTGTTCAGCAGGATCAAAGGGTTTGAGTACAGCTGGGTTTTCACCTGAGCAGCATCCACTCAGCCAAAATGAATGAGCTACCTTGATCTTGTTAGGAAGTTTATGTAGTAGAAGGTACACAGAAAAAAAAGCATCTATGTAAAATAATTCAAGTACTTCACTGAATGTTAAGGCTGCCAAAGTGGTTTTCTTATTAGTTGAAAGCAGAAAAAAAGAAAATCAGAAAGCAATGCAATACTTATGATTAACATTATGGACTTTACCTCAGCTGTGGTCGTGGGCAAAACTGAAACACACTTGAGCAGGTACAGTGACCTACATTATAAATGCATTCTAATTTATAAGAGGAGTGTGCATCGAAATTGTTCAGAGATCGTTTTCAAACAGGCAGTCTTAGTCTTTGTCACTCCTCAGAAGTAAACGTGATCCTTTCTGAACTGTGCTTAAAGCAAAGCATAAGAGGCATCTGATCTTCCTAGAACCTGAAACTTTAGTGATGTTAAAATGTTGATTGGTTTAGCTTCCCTTTTACATAAGGCAGCCGAGTTTGAGATTCTGAATAGCGTGTGTGTGTGCATTGAGAGAGACTGTGCGCAGGCTTAGAGAAATGCCTGCAAGGCATTAAAACTCAAACTCAGACGCTATTTTTTTGATACCCTATAAAAAAATTTATTGATAATCTTGAGAATAGCTAAATTGATCCAGGAAGTTTGTGATGAGAGGCTACTGGTAATGAATAATTCTGTAGTAAGGTTAAATAGTAGTAATGATTCACGGTAAGGCAAAGTAATAGCTCCTCTCACAGCTGCCTAAAACCCCCTGTGTATAGTCAAATAAGTCTTGAGTAGCTATCCTCCTTTGTAACAGTGACAAGCATAGAAATAAAATAATTTTGGTGTATTTACTAAAAGACAGTGGTGTAGGGAGCTCTCACTAGCAGAATCTTTTTTCCTCCTAGGTGTGGCAGTGTGGAGGGAGCGTTGAGGTTCTGCCTTGCTCCAGGATTGCCCACATTGAAAGAGCGCATAAACCGTACACTGAAGATCTAACTGCTCACGTCCGGAGAAATGCACTACGAGTGGCTGAGGTCTGGATGGATGAATTTAAGAGCCATGTCTATATGGCGTGGAACATACCCCAGGAGGTGAGTCACAGATACCAGTGTTTGCTGCATTCAGCTTTAGAGCCTCTTGGGTTTGGTTCCTATTCTGGATTTTGATTTTTCTGCTAGGATTTTATTATTTGTATACATGTATGCATGTACTTAGGTCTTACATATAGGCATGTGCCTGTATATACACATCTACGTATAAATATATGTACATAGTTGTGTCTTATTCCAGAATAATTCCTTTGTTTTCAGGTTCCTTAAATACTAATTCTTTGTCAAGTTCATTATCCTCACTGATGAGTCTTCATGGAGATTTTAATCTAGTAGCTGCAGAAATGTGGAAAAAAGAAGCATCATATCTGTATTACACATCTTACTTTGAATTTGAGTCTCTTATTGCCATCACAGAGAGCTATAATTCTGCCAGATTTGTGAGGGGAGTTCTGCCAAAGGGCAAGGGGTGTTAACTCCCTCCTGAGTAATTTCAGTCAGAGTAAGGGTGGCTGGTGGATGTCATGACATACTGCAGAATCCAGCTGCAGCTCCCTTTTGTCCTGCTTGTCCGCATTTCTTTGCCATAGGTGAGCAACAGCTGGTCCATTGCACTGAAAATACCGTGTCAGCCAACGTGAGAGTTGCGTTGGACATCTGATTGTAGTTGTTCTTTTCTGTAGTCAGTGGTATTTAATCTATGAAGTGCTAGGAGCTATAGGGCTCTGAGAAAGGTGACTGTGCCTGGTCTGGAAAATATTCGGGATCCCTGAAGAGAACAGGTTGTTCCACCTAGAGGTTGGAACCCATGGCTCTGTTTGAACTTGAGGTTTGACTTACAGCCTGCACTTCTCATCATCACAGCAAAAGCAAATATTCTCGACTTAATAAATTAACTTGGGCAATTTATTTTCTTTAATAAAATATCTGTAAAATCTCTCTTATTTTGAAACTATTCAGAGAAACTGGTTTTGCTGCGGTTTCTGGTTTGAGAAATAAAAGGCTGTACTTTTCCTCCTTTAGTGTAATAAGGGAAAAGGTTAGAAACCAAAAACCAGCTAGATGTGTGAATGCTGATGTTGATTCAGCTGCTTTCAATAGTTTTCTTCATCTCTCATGGTTAAAACTGAATCATTTTGGCAGAGTGGGGAAGCCATTGTCCTGTTTTCAGGTTGCAGAATTAGCCACATAATATGCCATGAAAACAGAAAAAAATCCTCTGTCATCTGGTATAGGGGAAGGACCTTTCTGGAAGTTAGTTCCATGTTCACAGAAACAAAGCTGCCTTTAGGTGTCCCTGTTTTGAGTAGTCACACAGCAGTGCATACAAGAATAAAGACATTCTGGGAAGATAGGGTTATTTATTTTACATCAAACCAAACTGGAATGGATTTATGATTAACCTGATAGATTTAAATTTCAATTTCTATTTTTTTATTGTTCGTTATTTTCCTGAAGATTGCTTGATCTTCATTGATTGATCAAGTTTCAATTTATTGACATAAAACTTAGAAATTCCTCTTGCTGACCAGGATATACAGCCCTAGACATGTATCTGCATAATATTCATCCAGCTATGATGGTTGTGGTGCTTAACCATGTGCAAAGTTGTTTGAATGCAATTTGGAAATCAAATTCATAAAGAACACAAAGATAAGTTGTTATTACTACTAGTTAAATTTCCATTTAACAAGTAATAATAACACAGTCTTGACTGTGCCAATAGATCAGAAAAAATAAGCCTGTTATGATAAATTTTAAGAGTCATTTATTAAAGAAACAAATACAGAGTGTGGATTGAACTGATTTCTTCAGGTCACCAAGTGTATCAAAATGTTTGCACAGTAGATCTTGTACTGCCAAAACTGAAACTGTTCACAGTTTTGAAGAGGAATAACAAGTTTTCTTACTACTTCAATCTTCAGTCATTTTCTAACCACAAATGTACTAATCATTGCGCTGAACTGCTTGAATAAATTGCAATGCAGATTATATTCTCTCTTCATCTTCACAAAGGCTACTGCTGTCAAACCGTAGTGCAGACTTAAAAGCTGGAAATGGCAGGCGCTAAATCAGCTCTTCCTAGCAGCACTCTCCTGCCACGCAGTGAGGAGCCTCTGGGGCAGGGAGGAGGCCATGTCTGTGTCTGTGTACACAACCCGTCGCACAGGGCTGTAGAAAACCAAATAAACACACATGCCTATATGCTTCCTTAACATACACTGGGAAACAGCTTCGTGTTCACAGTTGTAACAGGTTTACAAAGCCTGAATCCAGTCGTGGCCTAGTAGTGGCTGCAGGATGCCCGAGACAGCGTGGCACCGCTGTGACCGTGGCAGGGGTTCTGTCGGACGGGTTCTGTGCCTTCCAGCTGGGCACATTCAAGTGTTGCTCACCCAGCTTCCATCTTCTGCCGTGTGGAAAATAGGGAAGGGCTTAAAAGAGTGCTGGGGCCGTGTTTTCCTCTGGCAGCCTGACATCTGCTCCAGTATCCCAAATCAGTTGTGTAATGTGAAGCTTTTTTAAGCATCTTTGTGCTCATTGTGTGGGGCCTGGTGCCAAGAATCGGGGAAGAGCTCCAAAGACCTGGGACTTCCTTTTCCTTTCCCATGCTAAACTTTGGGAGTACTGAACTCATTCTAGAGCAGTGGGAAACAAGTGCATGTTTAAGGAAAGCTTCTGGCCTTTTAAGGGAAAGAGGAGAATACAGTACAAAATCACACTGCCAAGCACTGTCATTCAGTCAGTCAGTATAAAGAAAACCTACATCATTAGTGGGAGCCCTCTTTTATACAGCAGAAAGTTAGGAGCAACGCACTCTGGCTGGTAGAGAAACAGAGAGTATTCAGTGTAAAGAAACAATCTAAAAAATAATTTAAAGCTTATGGGGCCCTTGTAATGTAAACTTCCAGTAGGCAGGGGACAAAGAGATGGTAGATGAGAGAGGCTGGGGATGGATCAGGTCAAATTTAGATACCAGACTGGATGGCAGTATTTCTGTTCCATCTTTGCTTGCCTCAGGATTAAACTAAAGGTGAAATACCAAAGAGGGACAATTTTCAAATCAAACCCAGCTTCAGATTAGGCAGAAATATGTCGAGACCTCAGTGTGAGAGGCATGCAGAGAGGACAGACAGATAGCATGGCCAAATACTGCTACACGAGCGGATAACTACAGGAGTAATTCTCTCTCTGGAAGCTGATGAAATAGGGGACTGGTAATGGAGTGTTTAGGTAATGAAAACGTATTCAGTTGTAGCAGTCAGGACTTTCCATGAAATATGGTCTTCCAAAATGTTAACCACAGGACCTGTTTTTTCCATGGAAGAATTCCCAGACCTCTGAGAAGCCCTGCAGTCAGATGTTTCCAGAGGTTTTAGTCTTCGAGAGCTAATAATAATAAAAAGACTATAGACTCATTTGGCAGTGTGCTGTGAGTGCCCTCTTGGGATCTCTGTGGGTGGCTCTGAAGTACTGAGGGCTTCAAACAGGGATCTTGGACACCATGGGGATTTCTGCATCCTAACTACTTAGATAAACAGATTCAGAAAAGCACTTAAAATCCAAAGGAAAGATTTTTCAACTCCCAGAAGCAAGAGCTCTCCCATATCTTTTTCATTTTGTTTTTTTCTTTTTTTCCTCCCATCATATTCTCAGCTTTGGGGAATATACTGAGTTGTTGCTGGTGATAAAGCCAGTGCGCTACATGTAGGCTGTTTTCCTTCTCCAGCTGCATGGGAGGATGTGATTCCTGAGGCCCCAGATGCTCTGTCTTACCTTACACAATAAACTGAGGAAACAAGCATCGGTGTCTGCAGGGTTGCATGAGGAAGGAGCTGGGGTGCACTGACCGGTTTAGTATCTGATCCCAGGAAGCCTTGTTAGTGCTCACAGTCAGGGATCTGTGTGCTGGAATCCTCCCTGTCCTGCACACGAGCGGCTGATACACTGGCAGTGCAAGTGCAGCCAGAGTGGTGCGTGAGCAGGGTTTGTCCATGGGATCGCTTGGTTGTCTTGCAGCACCCTACAGCATGTTTCTCTATCTAGTCACTTGCTAGAAAAGTCAGGAAGAAATGATGGCTTAAGGAGTAGTTCCACATAAATTTTTATGTATCATGTGGGGCTTGAGGGAAGTAATCATTTTTAAGGATTAACTTGAGTTATGCCAGTTTATGCCAGACCTCAGTTTCTTACTTTTTTTGTATATTTTGCTAATGTGGAAGTCAATTTTGCTTTAGTTAGAAAATGCTTCCATAGTAAACTATACTTGTTGCAGACGAACATTAATTCAGTGCTTTGGGATGTAAGAATCAGTCATTGCTTCAGCAGCTCAGACACCTAGGTGTGTATAAAGATACCTTTTTGATGTCTGACTACGAAAACTCAATGCTTCCAGGGTTATTTTAAAATCGTATCTGGTGGCTGACAAAATCTTTGGGGCGTTTATGGCCCAGTAAAGGCTGTTGTTTAAGTAGATAGATTATAGGATTTCCCTATGAAAATTTATTTATCCTGTGTTTTGTTCTGAGGCAGAAGTGGTAAAGAACAGTGTGCAGCAAAATGTCTCATTTTAACTTCCTTTCAAATAGCAGCCATGGATTTGCACTTAGATCCCTCTCTCAGAATTTCTGCTGCGTTATTTTAATGTGATAAATTATTGATTTTTATATACAGGGACTTTATGAAACGGTTTATGATCTGCTCTTATGATAAGTGGAAATCAGGTTAGCCAGAAACGTAAAGGAGAATAAAAATTAGGGGAGAGACTAACATGCAATTGCTTTTAACAAAAATAGCAACTTTTTACATTACATGACATGACATGACATTACAAGACTTCAGAAATGCCCAGAAGGTGCCGTATACTAATGGTGAGGCCACAGCGGGACGGCAGCGATAAGGCTGTTTCAGGGGCAACTTGCTACTCCTGCCAGTTACTTTTGGATTTGGAAAGTGCCAGAAGATTAGAGAACAATTCCACTGTCCATCAGCTTCACTGGAAGTGAGATGTAAACCCCACTGAAGTCAGGAGGAGTGGTTCCGCTGAGCAAAGCCCACTTTGAGGGAGCCTGTCCTGGTGACTGTGCCATCTTCCAAGGGAGCACTGAGGGAGTGTCTGTGGGTAACAGACTCACCTCACAACCAAAAGCTGCTAATTATCATAGGTCTTAATCATCTCTGCAGTGAGAGAGCCTCTGGATGATCAGTCTGCTCAGAAGTGTACCAGTGATGTCTTTTCTGCTTTTCCTGTCCTTTGTTTTATGTGCAGGACTCTGGGATTGATATTGGTGATATTTCTGAGAGGAAGGCCTTGAGGAAGAAGCTCCAGTGCAAGACCTTTAGGTGGTACCTTGTCAGTGTGTATCCAGAAATGAGAATGTATTCAGATACCGTCGCCTATGGAGTGGTAAGGGTCTTGTGTACATTTCCCATTCTGAAAAGGTGCCATAGTGGAAGTAATTCGTGAAGACAATGCCTGGCTCTAAGTAGAAGAATCAGATAAGCTTGAAGTCACTAGTTAAATAATTTGTTAGCCTGATTACTTGACAGACACAGCTGGTCTGCTGTACTTTATGCTGAGGTATTCTGGACATTATCTTCCTCCATGATTTTCTGGTTTTTTTTCATGGCTTGCATTCCCCTTGGTGATACTCAAAGCACGATTTTTTAGACATGTTGGAGCTCTCAGTTGGAAGGTTTGTGGTAGCAGGTGAATTAACAAAATAGGCTCAGTACTTCAACTGCAAGCTTCTTCATATTGCAGCCAGATGTTAATTTAGAACCTCAAATGCCTGTATTTTGGGATCATCATCATCATCATTACTTGCGTGACAGTAGTACCCTTCTCTGCACTGCAATCACGCTTGAGTTGGAGTGTGCCAATTAAAGCAGAGGCTGTTCTTGCCCCTAAAAAACTGGCAGTCTGAACGGAGAGGGCAGGACTGCATGACACGGAAAATGAGCGTACGGCAACTACAGGCCCATAAGCTAGCAGAGCGAGGACGTCCTTTTCATGTTCTCTATCCAGTGTCATATTCATAAAAATTGATTTCTGTGAATTAAATTTGCCTGTCTGCATGTTTCCCAATTAGGAAACATTAAGTAGTAAGAGCAGGTCATAGAAGTGAAGGATTTGGTTTGAGACATTTGTCTTCAAAAAGAAGTCAGAGTTGTGCAGTTTGCCAGTATGGCTGCTCTGTTTTGGCAAATGAAGTGTTGGTATGCCCCACAAAGCTTTGTCACCCCTTTGATCCATTAAAATTACCGTGCTGGCTTTTCATACAATCAAAAAAGATTGCAAATTCAAAATGTCATTTGTCTAGTTTATCTCTGTGTTCTGTAAGGCTCTGAGTTTGAAAGGGAGCAAATGGCAGTATTGACTAATTATTCATTTTTCAGCGTGGGCACTGGCAACCTGATTATATTTTGGGCTGCAATTAAGTCTTGGTAGTCAAAAGCTGCGTTGCCCAAGTTAATTGTTGGTTGCCACAAAGCCACTAGATTTTGGAAATGGATGGTTCTAAGAGTCTGGGCCTCAGATTTTGAAACAGCATTATTAGTTAACGGGCCAGTGGCTTTTTTGGTTTTCTGTAGGGATCATTTCTCTGCAGATATTCTAAAGTTAATTGTAGAGTTGTGACTGGGATAAGAGTTTTAGAAATTGAATCTGAAGAGCTCATTTTATTTTTTTTGTTTTTAAGGTTCATAAGAGGAGTACTGGTGTTAAAGGACTATAGCATGTTGTCTCTTTCTCTGTAGCACCTGCTCACCAGACAGCTGCTGTTAGGGTTAAGGACATGTTTGTTAGTGGAGCCTGGGGCTGCAGAGTCTCTGTGGTGGACTGCTGGGTCAGCCCCCTCAGCTAAACTGCATGCTGATGTTGGTCACGGCAGATTTTTTTGCTTCCTTTATTATGGGGATTGTTGTAGAAAAGGTTGTAAGATAAGGGCTAAAATAAGCATTAGAGTTTGTGGAAGAGGTTTTGAAAAGCCGAAGGTACTGATGGATCCAGGCATGAATGAATAAGGCTGATAGTCACCATTGGTTTGGATAGAGTGGTGTCCGACATCCAGCTAGAGATATGGTTGTGGTTACGTTTATGGCTAAGAAATGCAAAGCTTTGAGAGAAGGAAACCACTTCATTCGCAAGGCTTGCAGCTAAGCGTAACGCCAGTGCTGATACCTAATGTGTGTTTTCTCTTTGATGTTGAGATTTGTCCTGTCTATTACCGGGGTTAGCTTTGGAGTTGGAGATCTGGTAGAGATGAGTTTGTGAGTTTGATGATGTTATTCACTGCCTGGCTTCAGTCTCTGGCTTGTCCCCACTTCTTACCTACTAGTGCACTTCTAGGCTTCCTTTCTAAGCAGATCAATTTGTTTTTCTCAAAGGAGGCCCTGTACTCACCCGACAGGACCGCACAGATGGGTGCAGACCACATCACCTCTTCACACCCTCCATCAGACAGTTCTCTCATGTTCTCTGAACTGATCTCATACCACTGAACACCTTCATACATGCCCAGGGGTTTTCAATCCGCATCGTTGGCCTCACTCTGAAAAGACTTCCCAGCTATCTGTGTTCATTTATTTAGCACTTCACTTTTGGAAAATTCTCTCCCAGCACGGCACACGTAATAGATAGGGCTTTGTGATGAACGGGGCCAAGTATTTGCAGTCTGTTCACTGCCAGGTTGCTGAGCGTGAGTTAGCCTGGAATAATGCAAAGAAGAGCTAGTGCATACCAATTGGACAGAAGTCTCTTAAGTGTCAGCAGAAAGGATTTTTTTAAATTATTTCTGGAAATCAGAAGACTCTCCCAAGTGATTCTGAAAAACTGCTCAATTACAGGGCTCTCTCCTACGTTTGAAACTCCATCCTTACTGCTCAGCTACCTACACTGGGAAAAAAAAGTCTTCTGTATACAGTGTGTACCAGAGACTCATTAGACTTAATATTTTAAAAACGTCTATCAAAACATTATTGCTCTCTCTGAAGTCTCTTTGAAATCTACCCTCCCTGAAGCATTGAACAGCATTTTTGAAATCAGTGGTGTTAGATGAGCTACAAGGAAGAATTTAGTCCACGTGCTTTCTTTTCAGTGTCTTCACTACAACAAGTATTTTTAATTTTGTGTATTTTCTTGCTCAATTACATATGATTTTTTTAAAAGAAAATAATCACTCTATCTTTTTCTCATCTACAACTTGCTTGATTTCTTTTTCTTTGTTTATTACAGCTGCAGAATTCCCTGAAAAGTGATTTGTGCCTTGATCAAGGGCCAGACACGGAGAATATCCCGATCGTGTATATCTGCCATGGAATGACACCACAGGTTAGTTTGTCTGATCATCTCGCACACTGCTGCTGTTCTTAGTAGGCTGGGTAGGAGGAACTGTCTTGTACCTGTCGTTGTTTTCCTCAAAAATACCTCTGTAAGCTGTTTAGTAGCTCTTTTATAGAAAGCTAGAACATTATTTCTGCTGTAAATTTAAGAATCACTGGTTTATTAGCTCTGAATACAAGAGTCAGCACTGACCCAGATCTGTTAACAAAAGTTTTAACTTCTGATCGTCAAGTATGCACGTCGTATGAACGAAGCAATGTGTTCTGAGACATTTTACCTACATACGTATTCTTGCAGTTTATTTATACATTATCTAAGTACCATCTTTTTCATTTTGTCTCATTTTCACAAATCTGAAATGTACAGCCACCCTCTTCACACCATACAGCTGTGTCAAGTTCCAAACCCTGTTCTTGTGAAAGCTCTTCTTCTAAAGCTCCTTTTTTTCTTTCTCTGCTTTTGTCCTGTCCTCTAGTATGTGCCAAAGCCTCAAATTACCAAAACCTTTCCATTTTCTTACACAACAGCTGGATTTATTAACTTGGAAAACAAGAAGGTTAAGACATTGTATCTCCCCAGGTGCCTAAGTATATGAGCATAGGTGAAAGTGTTTCTAGGCAAATCTTGACAACAAAAATAGCATTACATGGTCTAAAACATGGTTGTCAAAGACAGATGTGCAGTTTATCTGACTCTGAAAAGTAACATAAGCAGAAGTGACATAAAGGAAATGGATGTATTTGTGGGAGTGATTGGAAAAACTGAAAAATCCTTCTAGTTTGGATCATTTTTTCTCTGGCTCCCTTTTATATTTGCTTTCTCAGAAGGACCCTAATCACACTCTGGTTAAGTTATGGAATGTGGTTTTACCCTTGGAATTCTTAGTTATGTGATTTGACTGCACAGCAGATGAATCCTCCTAACATCAGAAACAAACACAGAGCAATAAGGTAGTCTTGTCCTCTGTACCTGGATCTCACAGTGATCTGGAAACGTGACTCTGGTGAAATGCAGATAAAATTCTGTACTTCCCTGCCATGCTGCAACTGTGTTCTGTGCTGGCTTCCTGCGCTTGAGGGCCTTTAATATTGATCACTAGTGGCATCATGCTTGAGTAAATTATGAATGATGAAGACAAAAATATGTGAAGATCCCATCCATCAGACTCGCTTACTGCATGGGCTGTGCCTTATTTGTCACATAATTGTGTGGTAGCCACTGTTGCCTCCAGGAGGTTTTTAAGCTGGTCCTTAGTGTTCACTGAGGAACTGTGTAATTCCCCCGTGAGCCAGAGCCATTATTCTTCATCTTCTGGGAGGGTGCCGTAACTCTTCTGGCCTATCATCTGTGGTAACAACACACTACAGGCACAGCCCTAAATTCCAATTAGAAATTTTAATGATAGTTAACAGACAAACAGCAACAACAATAAAAAAGTCACTTCGATTAGCACAGTTCAGTATTCACCAGATGAAAACTACCTTTGAATGTCACTTGAATTTCTGTATAAATGAGATAGCAGCAAATAAATGACAGAGGGGAGAGAGGCAAGGGAAAGTTTTCTTGACGAGATTCTGCTCCTTTCATGATTGCAGTGTTGTGTCTCCTTCCCATCGCTATTTTGTAAATAATGATGTTAAAAACAACCCTGAGGAAGGCTGAGATGAGCAAGACCCCGGTACTGAGAACTTTCTTTGAAAGAGGAGTAGACTTTCTCTGTGTTGGGGATTATGGTATTAACGGGGTAAGCACTACCAAACGTTATTCAGCACACTTCTGCAAGATTCCCACTGCACATATTGCATCTCTTGCTTAAGCAGAGCTCTAGCCATTTACATTTCCTCTAGCAGATCAGAAATACTTGAATAGATATTCCTTTTAATCTTAGTGAACTTGCCAGTAACTGCAAAAGACACCGGTGAGATGCTAGTTTTATTCCAGCCGTGGTGACGTGCTATATAAAAGGGGCTATTTTTCCCACCTGGCAGTCCTTATCAAAATAGATTAGTCAGAAAGATATTAGTCCCTTGGTTCAGGACTGCTTGTGTGGCTGATGGTGTTGGTGGTGCCATTCTTAGCTCTGGTGCAAAGTTACACTGTGGTGGCTATAGCATTGGTGGTTTAAAGTCTCTATGCTGGAGACAGCTGGGGGGTGTGAGGAAGCAGCCCCCCGTCAGTGTGATGATAGAGGGAAACAGGAAAATTGGGAGATGAGGTAGACTGGCAGTAAGGGAGAAAGTGAGAAGAGAGAAATGTAGAGGGAAAAAGGAAAGACAGAAGAATTGTAGTGGCAAAACATACAGAACATAAAGTCCGTGGGAGGGGGGTGTGTGTTTTTTTTAAAGTGGTTCATGCAGAAGAGGATGAAGGTGCCGTTTTACTTCGTGAACTTGTTGCAGCAAAGCCACAATTCACTCATACATTTAGGCCTTAAAAGGTCCGTTTCCAGCAGTGCCCCCATTCTGCATGGAGAAGAGGGTTACTTGTCGCTGCGGCAGGTACTGCCCCGGCCTGACTGCCTTCCCTCCCTAATGCTGGGCCCTGCCTGAGCCTGGCTGGTGGTTGGTGCAGACTGCAGTTTAACCAGGCCTGTAATCTTGAGAGGAGACTGATGACAGCGTGTCACTTGCATTGAAACTATTCCTGAGTGGTAATTTGGAAGATTCTTTGCTGAGAATGAAACACCACGGTATTAGAGACTTTATAACTATTGTGTAATAAACAAGTACCATCAGTCAATGAAGTGTTATTTTAAGTACAGATTTACCTTGCAAAGCGCTTCTGATTGAGGGGATAATGGGCAGTTCTGTGTTCCCTCGTTCAGTAGCTTCTGGCTCATGTATTTCTCAATTTATAAGCAGTTAAACCACAAAGTTCATCCAGGGATGTGAAAGTCAATACAAACCAGTTAGATTTTGAGGAATTCAAGTAGAGGACCAGGGTCAGAAAACTAGATTGGGAGAATTAGTAGAAGAGAAACGCAGGTGAGAAGGTACACCCGTTCACATCCTTTCATATGTCTGCAAGAGATTGCAGAACTGACCTTCGGAAAGCAGTGGCTACAGCCCTGCCTGGTGTGAATTCCTGCATCTCTGAAGATGTTATTTGAAGATGTTATTCGTATATATTTTTGTTAAAAGTTAAGCATGGTGGTTGTTCATACATGGAGATTTGTTAATTTGTAACCAAGAACATATATGACTAAAAAAGGCTAAAACTGCAGTAAAAACCTACAGGTTTGATCACAAACACTCTAAAGTTAGTAGTCTAATCTGTAAAACCCAGGAAATAATTAATCAATGTTCAGCAAATAATTATCAAAGGAATTAAAATTGCTTTGCAAATAATTGGGGAGGGGGGGAGAAATCAATCAGTTTACATTAAATTAATAATTTAGGCATCTCTGGACTAAAGTTGGTGTGATCTTCACGTTATTGAGGCATTACAAATATAAACACCTCAAAACTGAGTTTTAATAGAGCCTTAATTTTAATAAGTCTGTTGCAATGTAAAAAATTTTCTTTAGATTCCTGTGCTCACATCGTGTTGGACAATCACCAATCCCAGGAAAGCTGGGAGAGGAACCACGTGCTCTGTCAGAAGGAGTGTTAGGGGCATTTGACAGCACAAACAGGAGCCCGCTTAGGAGTGGCGTTCTGTCTATGTGAAGGATGCGGACCAAGAAGCAGTATAAACCATTTTATAAGGAGAAATTAATAGACAAAATGTAATTATGTCATTTACTACAGGTCACGTTTTCCATTACACCTTTCCATTTGCTTTAAAAAAAATAATCACGGAAATACTGAATATTGGTGCCAACAGAGCACCACAATACTGCTGTCCTGGAGAGTTTAGATAAAGGAAATTCTGAAGTTTAAGAACAGCGTATAGCTGTGATGACTCAGATCTTGAGCTGGCTCACGGTTGAATATGCATTCTTTTTCTCCCTACAGCTGAATATTAAACTTATAGTGAAAACATAATTATCCTCGGCCAAAAATACAGCATTCTAAGGAACTACTTTGAAATACATACATTTCAGAAAGCAACAGGTCTGTGGTTACATACGTAAGAAGGACCATGTTCTGGGGCGGGGGTGAAAACACGTAAGCATTGTAAACAGAGACTGTGCGAGAAGAAGTTAAACAGAAGGCCCCCCAGCTAGCAGCCACTGGTACCAGCATATCCCAGCGGTGGTCAGGGAGTAGGGAAGAACAGACTAAAACCTGCTCATGTGGATCAAGTGATGATCTTTCAGGACCTTCAGACCTGAAAACTCACTGCCCTAAAGATGTCTACAACAAACCTTTCCGGGGAGTCTGTTGTAAGCGATAAGAAGTGGTACAGCAGCTGTTTAACAGCTGTCAGTCACGTAAAGCTCAGGGTTGATGTTCACGTTTGTCTTCAAGGTAAATGTTGGGCACGTTCGCCATCGGTGCGTAAGGCAGGCTGGTCCGACGGCTGCTCCGCGTAGCGCCGTTCCGTTCTCAGGACCTGCTGACGCACTGGGCTGACCCTGCAGTCACCTGCTTTGCGCTGGTTGTTTTATGTAGGCAGGCGCATACAGAGTGCTGTACGGAAATCTCGCTGTACTAAACATCCAGCTACAGCCTGGTGCAGCTACTCCGCGGTGAGAAGTCACGCCGTGTGGTGGAGAGAGTAGTGGTTCCTCTCTCCGCGCAGCCGAGCTGACGCGGGCGCATCGGGAGGGGCAGCTCGGTGGTGGGCCCCGTCCCTGCTGTCCCGCGCCGGGCTCTGCTCCGCTCCGCTGCTTCCAGAGGCAGCGCCTGGCACGCGCCGGCGGCTCGCGGCTCCCCGAGGCCTTTTCCACCCAGCCTTGAGGATGATCTACGCGCTGGGCCCAGCACTAACGTCATGGACAGACAACATGCTTTCCCTGAGCAAGGGTAAAATGCTTCTGGAACTAGAAGAGCTTTTTTTTTTTTTTTTTTTTTTTTTTTTTTTTTTTTTTAAATCTAGGTTAC